AACTTATTATAAACCCGTTGATTTTTATTTTTTTGTTAAAATAATATCATTTTGATTTTTTAAAAAAAAATAAAATTTGACTCAGCTGACCTGATGACCCAATCAAAACTCGATGACCCGGTCAAAACTTGAAACTCGAGCCTAGGCTAGCCATCGAACCGGGTTTTAAAACTATGCATCAAATAGCTGGCTTTTTGCATTTAAATTTTATATTCTTCATTTAAAATAACCCACTTTCTCACATATTATATAAAGTTCATTGCCGTGATCGCTTAAAATTTTATATGGGTTATTATTGATGTAATCGATCACATTCAAATATTAATTATCACTCTTAAAAATAATCAAAATTAAACATTATTTTTCACTATTATAGTTTATTACAACTCATACATGGATCATCTTCATTGTGGTCAATTGCAAAAATCATCCACTTACTGTCATTACAGTTAATCACAAATCACATAATTTTCATTTAATAATTTCATCATCCCATTTAAAGCACACAATTTTATATTTTCTTATTCTTCCAAAAGTATGCCAACAAGAACTCAACCAGTATTAACCTAATCACTCAAATCTTACACCATTAAATTCTCCAATCCCAAAAAAAAATTGATTTACATATAATTTCTCTCCATTCTACACTTATATATAACTTCGACAAGTCTAGTAAATGTATAACTTTCCATCATTCAAATCTACACTTTTAATAAATAACATTGAGACACCCAAAACCAGCAACCAACATTCCTACATCATTAAAAACATCAATATTGTATAATTTTATTAAATCTCCACAACCCCTAAAATCCTACTCATGGCCGGCCACATATAGAGATTTATTTTTCAAAATTTATTTTAATTAATCCAAATTACTTTCTAATACAACATTTCCCATACAAAAAACAATCAAATAAGTTATAATTTTCATTTCTCTATCAATTTACATAAACCATAAAATTTTGGATTTAGGAGTTTTTCATCCACTTATCATCAAATCACTGGAGTAAAGAAAATAATCATAGAAAACATCTTACTTACATAAACTAAACTTAATTGATGGTTTATTTTGCAACTTCTCTTCCAAATCCTTTTCTCCTTGAAGAATACTTGTTTCTCTCCCTCTCTCTATATTGTAATCCTCTCATTGTTCTTTTCAACCCATTAATTTTGGTATCAAATTTTTTATTAAACCTTCCTTTCTTTGTTAATAGCTCAATCTCTCAGCAAAACTTAAAAGAAAGAGAAAAACAAGTGAAGAAAAAGTTTGTTTTTTTTTTTTTAATATATAGATTGTTGGAATTTCATTCATCATATAAAAACAAAGAGGAAAGATTGTTCTTGTATAATTATAAAATTGTTAGTTTATAACAAGGGTGGTTTATGTAAATCTCTTGATTAGGGATTTTTTATAAATTATTTTATTTTCATTTAATCCATTAATAATATTCTTTTAAGACATTTCACCCTAATCATAATAAATTTTCTTTAGAATTTCTCATCATATTTGTTAGAAATTTAAGCCGCAACATACATGGTTCATACCAACAATCAACATTATAGGTGTATAAATCCAAACATTCATTTTTTGGAGTTCCATTATATTTTTTTAAGGGTTATCACCCCAACTCATAATGATTTTTTTTAAATAATTGTTTTACCCAATAGAAATTTACTCAATTTACAATGGGGTAGACATTTCACACACTAAGTTATTTTTTTTATTTTATCTAAAATTTATGCTAATATTACCAAGGATTCTCTTATTCAATCATATTTTTTTTCTTATAATTTATTGTTTTTTGGTTGAAAATTACCCTTTTTAACACTGGTTTATAATTCTAGGTTAAAGGTTTAAATGATTAATTGTATTAATATGATAATGGTAGTTGCTATGCTTGATTGTGGTTCATGTAGAATAAGTTGTTTGTGTATTGATTTATATTTGTTAAATGTAATAAAAATAAAAATATAAAAATTAATGGAACGGTGTAAGTTTTAGTGTTTAAATGACATTGTTATACTTATATTGGATTGATATGGTGATCCTAATGTGTTATGCTTGATTTTGATTTATATGAAATAAGTTGTTTGGGTATTGATTTATGTTTGTTAAATGTAGAAAAATAAAAGTATTATAATTGGTGGAAGTGTGTAAGTTTTAGTATTTAAATGACGTTGTTATGCTTATATTGAATTGATATGATGATGATAATGTGTTATGCTTGATTGTGATTTATATAGAATAAGTTGATTGGAAATTGATTTATGTTTGTTAAATGTGAGAAAATGGAAGTATGGAAATTGATGGAATTAGTCCATAACTAAATCTTAGTAGAGTCGTCATTTTATAGTACATGTATGATGTCATAATGATCATTTTTCTAGATCAGATTTGAGTGTAGAAATAACAAATAATTCTTGTTCTTTATTATTTAAAGATTTGAAGTTGCTACTTAATATTTTGATTATTAGAAACCCTAAATAGTCTACAGAGTTTGGATAAAAACTAATTATGTATAAGAAAGACAATATCACTTATAATACATCATGACTAAAGTAAACTGTATTATTCATTTGTTTAATTATCATTAAGGCTCTGTTGTGTTTTTCTAACAATTATTTAGTCTATTGATAATGTGGATTATAATAATGTGGATTATAACTTTACGAGTCAAACCTAACAATTCCAAAATCAAAATATATTTTATTATATTTCATATTTTTGTTTACCTTAATACTAGGAGTATGTTTAACATATAAGTTTGTAAATTCTAATATTAAAAATAAACATATTGGTTTTTTATTTTTGTGTTTTTGAAATTTAGACCAAATTCTAATAGATATTTACAAACTAGTTGTAAAATCTATTAATTGATTTTTTTTTTAAAAAATAAAGAAAATATTTTTTATTTTACAAAAATATACATGGAAATTATCTTAGAATTTGACCAGATACAATTTTAATCATAAATATATTTTTATTAAAAAAGGATTTTTGTTTTTTTCTATTTAAAAAAAACTAATTTATTTAATACTAAAAAATATCTTACATATAAGTTAAAAACTCCAAATATTAAATATAAAAGGGTAAAAATGGTGTAAAAGACCTAAAATTAATAGCAAAATGGTCTTTCAAAATCTAAAAATGAATTAAAATTAAACTAAGGCACGTAGCATAAAAAAAGGTTGTGAAAAATGTGTAAGGGTGCATTTTCCAAACATGCTTTTAGCTGGAAAAAACAAGTTTAAAAATTATTGTAAGACTTATTTGTCAAACACGCTATAAAGATAAAAAAAAAATATTTTTTTCTTTTGCAAGTTTTAGCTTTGCCAAATGCAGTTTTAGGCCTTAAAAACTCAGCCTAAACATATAGGCTAGGCTTCCCAAACTGGCCCAAGACCCAGATGATTCACAATTAAAATAGAGTTACAAAGATCAAATGATTTATTTGTTATTGAATACAAAGAACATTATAAGAATCCAAAAATCAAATCAAAGTTAAAAATCAAATTGTATTGAATCACAAGTGCACGTGTGAAGTGATTTCACACGTGCTACGAAGGTAATTAAGTTACCTTTACACAACAAGTACAAAGAGCTAGGCCATGTAAATTTAAAGCTCAAAGACTTATTTAAAAGGAACAATATGTCAGATAATCTAAGAATTGAACCCAACAACCTAAAACATAAACCTAAGTCTTCGAAGAGATTGAGGAACACTCATATATATGTTTAGGTTTCGATCGAAACACACAAAGTAAGCCAATAACTTTAGTTTGCAAAAAATAAGAAAGGTAACCTTTGAACACCAAACCTAAAAACCCATAAACCCATAAAACTCAAACATTGTCTTATACTCAAAAAATAACCAAAACCTAGAAAAATAGCTTAAATTCACCATCTTTAACTCTAACATACTGATACTGATACTAATTTGCTTGAATTATTAAAGCCTCAAGAAAACAAAGAAAGAATGCAATACAATAATTAAATTAACAAAAACCACGAAACTTTAAAATAGATCGCTTCAATACATTATATAATTATATTGATTCTAACACTCATTTTTATTCAATATTATTATTAATATAAATTAAGTACACACAACATTTAACCCATAACCACTAATGATCATAATTTTAACAATTTATGCTTATCAACTCATATACTTTTAATCAAACCAATTTTCATTGGCTAAATTAACTATTAACATAGACTTGAATGTCATTTAAATAGATTATTAACTTTACATTAACAGCCTATCATATCTTAAAACCAAAAGCTATGCATTCACTATCACATTAAACATACATTCATCAAAACATACATGTTACTTTAAATCATGATCAAACACATCAAAACATGCACATTGTGTATCATACCAACTATTAAATATACTAGATAAACATTAAACATTCAAGTAAAGATTTAAAAGGAATTAGGAAGGGGCGTGCCCATTGATTTATACCATCTCATTAAGGATTAAGGGTAAATGGTATAACTTATGGTAAAAATTCAACCTTCTTCTCTGGATGTTCTTGCTCCCTTTTCTTCTTGTTCCGAACTTCTTTCAGCCTTTGTTCCTCTACTCCTTTTCTCTTCTTTTCTTCTTTTTTCTCTTTTTTTTCTTACCATCATTTTTTCTTTCTTTCATGGACTTTTTTCCTTTCGATTTCTCTTTTTTTTATGAAAATGCACTCCTTTGATAGGCTGAAGCAAAATTAAAAAGTTATAAAACCACTTATTATTTCGATGGTAGTTTTTTAAAGATAGGTTGTTACGAAAGATTCTTCCTCTCTGTCTCTTTTATTACTTTTCTTGATAGCTATGGTGTATGGTTTCTTTACTTTTTGTACAACGAATCTTACCGAGAGAAAAAAACCATAAAGTTGACTCTTTTCAATCAAAGCTAACTAAAGCTAATTGGGAAGGGTATTTTGATGAATTAATCATGGCGATTGAGATGTAAACATGTTGTCAAGGGACCCAAAACATGGCGTCCTTGCTTCACAGTTTTGACTGGGAGGTTAGGAGCGGTACCACTCCAGAGACCTTGGCCATGAACGAGTGGATGGGAATAACGGTGCGAAAGCTTGTTCCTTTATATGCAATACCAAGAAAGATATCTCCCATATATTGATAATCAACAGAGTTGAAGTTCTGCTCATCTAATGGTGGAATATGTGCCTTGAGTGGTCTAGAGCAACAACAACAAAAAAAGAAAAGGATTTTTGATATTGTTGTCAACAAGTATTTTCTGTCAAGCATCATGATTTTGGCTTGTTTCTCCTAGTGTCTTGCATGAAAGTATACCGCTCTTGGCTGAATTCTGAGGTCGATGTTCAATAAGAAGATAATCCATTCCTGTTTTGAGTATGGTGCAGAACTGCAACTAAAGAACATATGCTGTTTGATTTTGATTTTGATTTGTTTAACCATTTGTTTGATTATCTTAAATTTCATTACATGTGCTAATGTTAGCCGGCGAAGTTCCCAGTGATGAACAGTGATCCCAATCAGGGATTCTATGGTTCAGAGGCACAAGAGGACTGCCTGTTCTAATTTACTAATGGCGAAGACCGACTTGCTACTTAATAGACATGCTCTTCCATACTGGGAAGCATCTTCTGTTTCTTTAGGGTTTTGAGGCTGTACGGATCTTTGGGTTTTGCCAAGCTGCTAGTTAGTTTCCTCTACCTGACCTGTCAACATCTGCTGTTCTATTTCTAATTACTTCTTCATTAAAAGCTAGTTAGTTAATAAATGTGCTCTAATCAATGAAATTTAAGATAAAAAGTTCTCAACGACCTCCTTAATTAATCTAATTATGATGTCCCATGAATCATGCGCCTGTAGGAGGATGATAACCTAGACTCTTCATGTATTTTCTGCATTCACCGTGCACTTCTCAAGGAGTCTCTGCCTATCAGCACCAACTACTGGTTAAATTAATAATCAAGTCATTCAAAAAATAATACTGCAATATTTAATATGTTTAGGCTAGCTGCCATGATCCATAATTACTTGGGACGTTCCCCAGATGAATCATGTTGCTGCTTGAAATGTTATCCTCTACACAAATAAATAATGCATGAACATGCATGCATTTCTTTTTAACAACAGCAGTTTAAAGCAGAACAAAGAAAGGAAACCGTGTCATAGCACAGTACCATAGCTCCAGCCATAGTACAGTGCGAACAAAGGATTTATTGAGGGATTGCAGCATCTTCCAGTTATTATAAAGCTTTAACTAACAAGAGAGCCTTATTATAAGGTTACTTTGGGCTCATCTAAACACAATTTGTCTAACCAAACAAGCTCAATTTGGTGTTTGGGGTGTCGAAGCGAGCTTTACCCCTTTATTCCAGATTTAGAAATCCAAGTGCCAAACATTTTTCACAGCTTCAGACCCTTTCTGTTATTCATGGCATTATTCTATCCTGAATCGCCCATCTCAGAAGACACCCTCAAACAAATGATTAATGTGAATACTATATTTCAATTTACAATAGCAAATAGAAGAAACCTTAATATAAGTTCCCATGATCACAGGGCAATCCAAGTAATTGGACCACCAAATCTTTTGATGATATGGAAACAAAAAGTTTTTTGCATATAAATTAGGAGAACAAAGAAGAAAACTGAACACCGAAAATGGAGAGCGCCTGGAATTTACTTGCCGGGTAGGGTCTTTTCATGTCAGAGGCATTGTTTCTGCTACTGAAACAGAGAAAATCGAGAGTTGATAACAAACAACAACCACCGGGCCCCCCGGCATGACTAGTCTTTGGTAACATCTTTGACCTTGGAGCCATTCCACACCAGACATTGTACAAGCTCAAAGAAAAGTATGGTCCTGTATTGGCTAAAACTTGGATGCACAAACACCTTGGTGATACAGTCAGCCGAGACTGCTGCAGGATTATTCAAGAATCATGACCTTGCTTCCAGCGATCGCAAAGTCCTTGTGTTTACAGCTCATAATTACAGCCAAGGATCACTGGCACTAGGTCGTTATGGCCCAAACTGGCACATGCTCCAGCGTCTCTGCTCAACAAAGCTCATGATAAATTGATAACCAAGCTAATCGATCAGACAGCTGTCCTACGACAGAAATGCATTGATGACATGATAAGGTATATTGAAGAGGATGTTGCAGAAACTCAAGCACAGGGAGAGTCGGGGGAAATCAGGTCGCCCACTACATCTTCCTTATGACCTTCAATCTAATTGGCAATCCTGTGCTGTCACGGGATCTTGTGAACCGTCGGTCAAAAGATGGTCATGAGTTCTATGATGCCATGAACAGTGTCATGACGTGGGCTGGGACACCAAATGTGGCAGAATTCTTAACATTTTTGAAATGGCTGGATCCTCAGGGGATCATGAGGAACATGGTGCAGGACATGGGACAAACCATGAGGATAGTGGAGAAATTTGTGAAGGAGAGGACAGAGGAGTGGAAGCCAGGGAGCAAAAAGACAAACGACTTCCTAGATGCACTATTGGAGCATCAAGGTGACGAAAAAGACGGGCCTGATGTGATCTCAGATCAAAAGAGACTAATTATCATACTGGTAAGCACGATGCCTTAAAATGCAGATTACACGTATCAAACCAAAATTTTCATCAAGCTTCAGTGAAGTATATATCATAAACATTTGTTAACTACATTTAATTCAAAGTTCTTACTCAATGGTGCAGGAAATGTCTTTTGGTGGATCAGAAACTACAAGCACCGTGATGGAATGGGCCATGACGGAGCTATTGTGCAACCCTATGGTGATGGGATGAGCAACAGAAGAGCTTCATCAAGTTGTTGGACCCAAATGAAAGGTTGACGAAAGCGACATAGATCAAATTCCATATTTGCAGTCAGTGGTTAAGGAAACACTAAGGTTATATCCAGTCATTCCTTTGCTGCTTCCACAAAACACTTTAGAAGATACAAACTTCACGGGGCACCTAATACCCAAAGATACACGAGTTTTTGCGAATGAATAGGGTATTGGGAGATATCCAGATTCTTGGGAGGATCCCATGTCTTTCAAGCCTGAGAGATTCCTAGGATCAAACATTGAGTACAGGGAACAGAATTTTGAGTTTATTCCATTTGGATCTGGGAGATGAAATTGTGTGGGCATGTCATTAGCTCATAGGGTAGTTCACCTTGGTCTAGCCTCTCTGCTGCACTGTTTTGACCGGGAGCTTGGCAGCAATTATGCTCTAGAGACCATAGACATGAATGAGAGGATGGGACTAACAGTGCAAAAGCTCAAAATCCCTTAAAAGCTAAACCATAGCAGATAGGGAAAACGATAGATGTCAAATGAGTTTCTGCAAGTTGGGAACGAGGTCATTTGCATGTGGAATGCGTGTTTTGAATATATGTCTTCAGCAATTATATCAATAAGAAACAAATGCGAGGATTATATGACAGCTAAGGAGTTTTCTCTACTGACTGTTTTTAATTACCTGCTGCTGCTCATGTTCTCCATAACTAGTGTTCCTGCCAAATAAAATTAGCATCCTAAATCTATAGCATTGGGAAGGACAAACAGGTCATCAAGATGACCACTTAATCTGTATCCAGCATCTGGCAAAAATGTCAGCACCTGTATTTTATTTCATACTATTCAGGACAGCAGTACGTGAATTGTTCCATTACTGAACAATGTAATCTAATTTCAGCATTTGCTATAAATTTAAGTAGACTGCTGACAACCTATCTTGCTAATCACATTTCAGGAGCACAAATTTCTAATATCATAGACAGATTGAATACATAATTTCTTGCCCTACAGATGGGGGTGTTGATGGAGAAAGAATCGCTGGAGAGAAGGGGGACACAACTTCCTATACTTGATCTAAAAATCAAGATTTGGTAGAGCATGCAGACACTTTAGCCTCAAAGATAACTGACTCTAACATACAGCATGGTCAAATTTCAGGCATTGCTGAATGAGTGGTGAAATTGCATTTCTCTACATTCTAGACATTCTCGTGTTACAATATAGGTTATGCATACATCCAAAAATGAATGAATTTGAAAACCCAGATGCAGAGAGCAGATCAACGTGCTTAGACACGAGCATTGATTGATTGATCAAAATGGTACCTCAATAATGTGAGGATGAGGCATTAAGAAGTTGCTTTCTGGGAGTATGGTCTGGTAGCCCAATTGAAATCATTTCATGAACTTTGTCACCTCATCATTTGAGACCTATGAGAAACTGTTCAATCCTGTGCCATATAATATGCGTGATGATCCCTTTTTGGCTCATAAAAGGAACTAGCTCTGCAGCCCGGAATCTCTGGCAAGGCTTTTTCATCATGTTCTGTGTTAAACCGGCAGATGTAGTTCAGACCAACAAGAAGTTCTGTTATTGCAGCCTCAGTCTTTGCTTGATCCGCAAAATAGAGGGTCTGAAACAGGGGTACATTTGTGCTGGAAACCTCATGTGCCCTCTCAAAGTTTTGCTTGGACTGCCATCTTATCATGTTATGAGCCAGTGGAGACAGCCATTCCAATATCTGTGACAAAGCCAGGTTCCACTCTGCTGCAAGTGAAGCATCATATACAAATGGAGCTAGAGATTTGGCATGTGCCTTGAGCCTAGCCTTCAGAGCAGATCTTATAGTTGTGGGTAACATGCCATATAGTTCATCTCTTGTTTCAAAGTCAATCATATGAGTTGATGAAGCTACCTTATCAATTAATATGATCAAATTTGCGTAATGGAGAGCTAAAGCAGCAGCACCAAGAGTGGGTGAGGGACCTTTCAACAACCCCTGCTTTGAATTGAATAGAGCTAATTTAGAATAAAATCGGTTGCTGCGTGCAAGAGATTCCATATTTGATTTTTCCATTAGATCAACTTTTTTCATATAGTCACTCGTGAGCCTCAAAGAACCACCAACAACAGAATTGCAGGTCAGCAAAATAGGAGAATCACTTCCGCTCATCATGCATTCTTTAAAAGGACCAACATGAGACAATCTTTTTGTTTTCAAGCGAGACTGCTTTCCATGCAGGCTGGATGACTGATGATGAGGTTGAAGCTGCTGCTTGCTTATTTTATACTTCTCAGCAGCCAGTCCTGAAGTCGAACCTGATGTTCCTGTAGGTTCTGAAGAGAACCCATGTAGAATATCCTCTGAAGGAAGTATAGAAGATTGCATTAGAACAGAAAAGGAACGGGTCTGAGGAAGACAATCAGGATTCCTCTGTTTGCAATTGCTGTTTCCCTGAGCAGATGGTAGTTGATTGATCTCAAAAACATGCTTGATTCTCTCAAGTATAGTTAAAAGTGATCTTGCCAAAAGACGGACAACATAATCATAGGTTCTAATCCATGGTGACATCTCCCGCAGATTTCTAACTTCCTGTTGCTGCCAAATTACTTTCTTCTGAAATTGGAGCAATTTCACACGATCTAAGTCAGCATTGGCCCGCAGTCTCCTAAGAGTTTGTTCAAGTTCTGCAAGAACTTCCAGCTCTTGAGACAATTGCATTGTTACTTCAACAAATTTCTCCATTTTTTTAACTTTCCTCTCCATCTTCTTTAATCTATATTGCCAACCAAACCACTCAAGATTATTCCCAACCGGGTCATTAACAAAACGTTCAAATAGGAGGAAAGGAGGGTCTTTGCACTTCCTCCCAAGCCGAGCCACAGATCTTGCAATTAGCCTGAAATTCTCCAGTATCTCATTTAGTGCAAGATCCATCAGGCAATCATGATCCTCAGCTACAAGCCTTTTAACTCCAACTGAGTTGACAATCTCTTCCCTCAACCTATGGATCTCTCTATCACTCAAATAGTTCCATAAATTAACGACCTTGGACATCAAGCCTGCAACTTCATATGCCAATACTCCGATTACTTCCTTATCAGTCTCTGCAGAGACTTTTCGTGAATTCCACCTCCAATTAATAAACCACGAGTCAGCTACCATCGCCTGTCCCATCAAATAACATATGTTACAGACAAAATCACAAAAACAAACTTCAGGGGGTCTACTGATCCCTGTATAACAAGTACAAGCACATAAACCCGAGATTGATTATACTACTAAAATCTGCAAGAACCCAACCATATGACAAAGTTGTTTCTCAAGAAACTAGTAGAAAGACCAAACCTTAAAGTACAAGATGACTTAAAACTGAGCTATAAGAGAGTTCAACATCACTAGAAAATCAAACATTAAAATCGGCAGCACGTCCTACCTAAACTCTGACTTCAAACAGGCAGACGATTAACTCTAGTACCCCACATAAAATATTGGAATTACCATATCTTCAAAATAACAGAAAGGAAAAGAATATAACAGTAACCATAAGAGAGGAAGTATAGCGAAATTTTGAATCTTGAGTCTATTAATTGATCAGGGTCTCCAAAATAGAAAACTAAATCCATCATTAGAAAACTAATTACTTACTTGGTTTAGTCAAAAAAAGCAATTACTTTCAATAAATCATAAAATTATATACATTTTTATAATTTAAAAGATTGAGTTTCTTTCACATTTCAGCAACCAAACACAAAAGTTGTATAATTGAAGTCAAAATCTCTTCCACCGACCATATCACATACTTTCATTAAATCATAGTAATTGTTTTAATTGTAATTTTCAATTTACAAACCACATGACTTCCTATAATAAAAGAGAGGGAGAGAGAGAAAGAGGGGGGGTGGGGGAGGAAAACAGCCTGAGATCTCAAGCTTAAAAATCATCAAAATGAAGAAATGTAAAGAACCCAAAATCCGCCTGAGATCTCAAGCATAAAAATCATCAAAATGAAGAAATGTAAAGAACCCAGAATCCGAAATTACACAACGAATCACCAAGCCATCTTGTCAAATTACAGCACCAAAGAACAAGCAAGAATACACTCACCAACGCAATAATGCTAGGTAGTACCACAAAGGAAGAGCAGGGTGAGCAGTGAGGTGGGAGTTTAAAAAAGTAGAAAGCGTGATTAAACCGGACGCCACACCACCATCATATATAGCAATAGCAAAAGCAGAGAGCCAGAAAAAAAGGGGTAAACAAACGAAATTCGGTCAATCCGAGGTAGAATAAGAAAAGACGACCTGTTTTTGATATTTTGTTTTCAGGTTGATGCCTGAGGACTTCTAAGGATTCGCAGTTAGTATATATATTCTTTTTCCGCCCACTACCACCCTCAACAAATTCCTCTGCAACAATTTTAAATAATTTCAACATCAGTATACTTAGAAAATATTTTTTCAAAAATAAATATTTAAAAGTGAGTTCCAACATATTTTTTTATTAAAATTTAAGTTTTTATTAAAATTTAGGAGTTGAGGTGTAACTGTGTTTTGTGATTTTTTTTAATATTTTTATATTGTTGTGAGGTATTTATATTAAAATTAATTTTTTAAATAATAACAAATATTTTAAAAAATAACTGAGTCATAAGCCACGAGGGAATCCGTAAGGCATATGCACTTTAATTATACAACTGTTCAACACACAACTACAATGTTAAATTAAATAAATACAAACGTGGGAAACAAGATCCTGTATTCACTTGATACAATCTATGGACTCTCATTCCGCGAAATAAATCTGAAATCCTTTCACATTTTCATGCATGCTCACATAGGTTTTAACAATATCGTATTACAATTACATTTTTACAAACTAAAACAAACGAGGGGGAATACATTTAGTGGCGGACCTGAAAATCCAAAATATATTGATATAACTAAACAAATAAAAAAAATCATTTCAATAAGCCTTATAACTATAATAAAATTAAAATTCTTAATTTTCTAATATATATTATTATATTACATTCTAATGAATATTAGAGATTAAAGATGTTTAATTTAAAAATTAAAAATTAAAAAAATATATAAAATAACTCTGAACTTTCTCAATGATTTGTTAATGAGAATAACTTATCCATAATCATATCTGCTAAAAAGTTTATAGAAATCTCTTTTTCTATGTAGATAATTAAATTGTCTGCAAGAAAATCACCATCTATTCTACTATGAAGCCTTGTTTTCACCAAATTCATTGCAAATAGAGCTTATTTTATAGTTGTTGTAAATACAAGAAGAGTTAAGATTAGTTAAATTTTTTTATTTTTCAAAAGCTTTTAGTGCTCTATACAATTCCAAAAGAGTAGTTAATTTATCAAATTTTGGATGTTTTGGTATATAAAGCCCATAATTTTATAATTAAAATTTCAAATAAAGTTTATTTTGCTTGCTATAATACTTGGGATAAGATCTTTTAGTTAAATTGCATCATCAACATTAAATAAATTATAAGAATTTTTAAGGATATAATGTTGAACTTAAAATAAGAAGCATAATTGTTGGATCACAAAATTTGTTATTTAACTTTTGTAATTGAAAACTAAATGCAACTGCAAATATATCAATTTTTTGAAATAATGTTATAAAATTATGAGAACTTCACTTTGATGTACATTCTCACAAATTAAACTCAATTTTTTTTCATTCTCACAAATTATATTGGCATGGTTTTATATATTGGAATTGATTTCATTGTTCATGCTTTTAATTTTTAATTTATGCTGCATTACGAAATACAACTATAGAGTTCAATAAAAAAACTAAAAGAACAAGAACTGAAACTCATAAAAAAAAAAAAGAAGAGAAGATTGTTCTATCATTTGTACTATTTAAGGAGCATGTCTTCCTCCACTTTGATTTATCTTTTTTTTTTTAAGTTTACTTTTAATTTTTAAAAGTTGAAAGACAAGAGTAAAAAATTTTAATCGAACATATTTTGATCACCAATTAATTCAATTTTGATATCGTTAGGTTTTTTTAAAGTTCAATGAAAGTGATTTAAACCTTTAATGATAGGGGGAAAAGGAGATAAGGACTCGAAAAAAAAATATTTAATTTGATTTTAAGTTTTGCATGCTGATTATAGAATGTTTTGTTATTAAAAATGGGATTTTAGAGTTTTTATTTCATGTTTTTAAGTAAAAACATGTTGAAATTTAAGATTTTAAAATTCAAAAACTCAAACCTTAGTTTTTACTCATCTTTAATTACCACAACTATTATAATAAACGATGAATGATTTAATATCTTAAAAAAATAAAACAAGCTTGGATTTCAAGGCCCAAGCATGTTTGGCTTTTTTAAAAAAAATTCAAGCAAGTGAGTATAGTTTAGAAGGCCTAACCCCATTTGAGATTTATTTTTGAAGGTCAGGCATGAGAACTTGATCTTGCAAAATAAACATGGTGGTTTTATTATGTAAAATGCCATTATGTTTTCTTTCATATTTCATTATGGATCAAAAAAGATTTTTTTAATTATTTTCATCATCAGAGTTTTGTTCTTTTAGATCATGTTCTTTATAGCTAAGTTAATAGGATTTTATAATTTGTTATAAAAAGACACAATCGAGATAAAGATGATCAAAAATGAAAAACACACAAACTTACATGATTGTTATGAAACTTGGATGAAAAAAACTTGTTTTGGTCCATGTTCTTTTCTCTTCTTCTTTTTTGACACAATTCTTTTATTTTCTAAAATTTTATTTTAATTCAAAATTTTATTTTTTTTATTTTTCAGAACCTAGTTTGAGAGAGAAAAGAGAAATTTATCAAAAAAAAAACAATGAAAAAAAGATACAAAACATTGGTTGACCACATTTTGGCTATAAAAAATATCTTTCTTGATATCTAACAGATTTTATTTGATGAGAGAAGTTTTATTAAGATTTGTTTGCCCTTATTCTTACTAGAAAAACAAGATTGAGGGTGAGAGATGTATTTTTCATTTGTTTTAATTTTGTATACGTAAACAAGTTTTGGGGTATTTTGAGTTGATTTGTTTATTTATTAACATTATAAAGATGTTTTTTAAGTTATTTTAGATGAATATATGCTCAATTTGTTTTTTATAAGCCAAAAAACACATGTCCTATTTTACCTTTGATTGCTTTTTTATTATTTGTAGAAAAATTAGTTAGAATAAATTAATTTAATATATGTGCGGGATGACTGATTGAATAGGTATACAACTTTAATTAAGATTACATAAAATGAATAAATCAAAAAATATTTTGTGATTTCTTAAATAGAATATTATTTAATCTTCATTTGATTTATGAATAAGGTCTCAACATATTTTTTCTAGGTGTTTTTTATACAACCTGCTTGATATATTTTTTCTTTGTTTTTATTCCATTTCTTCTTAATACATATTTATTTTTATTATTATCTAAGTAAATAAAAAATTAAATTCAATAAATAAAGTTATTGAAGATAACCTTATGTTTCTAAATAAGATATTTTGATTTATATCTATGTATCTCTCAATTTTTTAATTGAATATTTAATAAAATAAGTGTTACTTAATTTTTACTTGGTTCTCAAATCATATTGTAACATTTTCCCACGTTATTTTTGTGCAACCTCGCAAAATCGACTGCAATGATAAAAACAAAACTGTACGATACAGAGATAAATACTTCTACTGGATTATGATTCCCCACCTGACATGCATATCCATAAATTCTGCAGATGTGGAAACTTAAACAGGGAATCTTTTCTTTGCTTGAAACTAATACAATCATGATTTCAAATTTGATACAACCGTTAGAACAAGAGTTCATAATCCTTAGCTGGACATAAACACATGTAAGAAAAGGAACAATGGTGAAATCAAAATATCACATCGCACCTGGTACTGCAGAGTTGATTTTTTTGTTTTGACAGTCGAAGAATGAACGAAACTTTTCTTTATCGTTTTCTCCTGTAAAGCAAGCCTTATCGAATAAAAGTCAGCAATTGGAGTGTCAGATTGCACTTTGTTCCTTGCAGTATCCACCTCTCAAACTTGCTCTCTCTTCCCACTTTGAGTCTTCCTTTGCTCTATCTCCCCTCCTTTCTATCGACTGGTCTGTTGTCTTGCCTTCTCCTTCCTCTGTAAAGCAGGCCTATTTCCTCTTTTACGTTCCCCCCCTGTGTTCTTTTCCTTTGTGTCTTCCCCACCTTTTTTTAAATCGTTCTCTCCTCCTGTTTCTTTCCTTTCTCCCCTGTCTCAATGCCTCCCTTCCTTTTTCTTCTTTTCCTCCCCCCCTTTCCCCTTTTCTTCTTGCTGCCTCCCGCCACTGCTTATAGGAGAGAATTTCATCTTAAATCTTCCTCCATCATGACTGCCAATCTTTTATGATTGCAGTCCCTGGAGAGGATTTCATCTTGAAATATTTCTTCATAATGACCGCTGATCTTTCATGATCTCCAGTCTTTGAAGAGTAGATGAATCTAGACTTAAAAATAGACTAAATGATGGCCACCATCCTCTCTTTGATGGATCATCCCTCTATTTTTTTGCAAATTGAATTGATAGTTTATTTTTTTAATCTAGATATAGGAGTCTCATTATGTTTACGTTTCAATGCATGTTTGATTTGTCAAAATATGTTTAAATTATGTTGATTTAATAGCAATTATGGCTTTAAGAATCAAATTGGATTATGAATGAAATAAATATAAGGAATTGAAGTTGACATGTAGAACAGAGGTTGGTGGATGCAATGCACGTGATAAAGAGTGAGGGAGGTCTAAACTCTCTAGCAACGTGTGCAGTCTTTTTTAGTGAACAAACCGAGCCATTTGTGATGGAGATTGATGCGTCACGATGTTATATTTCATACGGGTCGTACTTGGAGGTTGTTTTACAATAGTGTTTGTTGAAATCTTTTTATTCTTTTTTTTTTCTCTTTTCTCTTTGAAATTCATGATATCCATTTCAAATTTTAGAATTTTTTTCTTATTTTATTATTATTTTAAATTTAATTCTTATTCATTTGATTGCTATATTTTTAATTATAGTTATTTTTTTTTAATTTCATCATTCAATTAAAAAAATTATAGGTTATCCTCTTATGTTTATTTTTTCAGATTTAATCCTAACTTTTTTAATTGTTATTTTTTTATGAAATTAATTTTTTTTAATTTTATTATTCATTTTAAAAATTTAAAATGTTCTCTTATTTGTTTAAATTTCTAATTTATTCCTTATTTTTTTATTGTTGGTTTTTGTTTTAGGTGCTTTAGTAAAATTAATTTTTTTTCAATCTCATCCTTCAACATAGAGTTGGTTAGGAATTGAGCTTCATGT